TCACTGTGGGATTTCAGATGTGTGTTGAATGTACAAGTGGATGTATAATGAATGAATCATACAAAGGTTAATGTCCAGGGCAAGAGGTTTTTCAGTAGAAAGTGAGGTCAGTGACATTTCAGGCTCAGTTTCTGCAATTACCAGTTGTATACCATGTCACTTGCCTTTTTCATAATGTTTATAATCAGAGGTAACACCTAACATGTGCGGTCACTAATTCTAGTTGTTATGATCTTTGGGACCCAACCCATTTTCAGCCCATATTTCTGATTCTTGAGTGTAGTTGAAATCATGGTGTTTGCCCTTTTCCTTCTGTGTTGTAGGAAGCCAGCCTAGTGTGGCAGCAAAGAGGGAGGTCAAGGGAATGAAAAGATAGAGCTATGGGTCCCACTTTTGCACTGACGTACCATGTGACCTCGAGCAAGTTCTCAACATTGATGAGCCTCAGTTTCCTCATTTGTGCAATCCTTTTGTGAGAATTAAGTTAATAATGTAAATAAAACATATAAGACAGGCCAGCAGGTCCTGCATCTTGTCCAGGATCCTTTCTCTCACTTGCTATTTTCAGCCAATTTCTGCTTCCTTGTTTTTTCTTGACTATGCTGGCACATGATAGCTGTCACTGCAGGGACTGAATGGAAGATCTGTGGGACTAATAACTTCTTGCTTGCCATCTTCTTCAGTCCATGGCACATAACCTAGGGAGCACATCTGGGTCTTTCTTGGTCTTCAATCTGTTTCTCAGCAGGAGTTCAGTCATTCTCTTCTGACACGGATTTTCTGTAAGTGATACATTTGCTACGTGCTAGACCTGTGGCTCAGACCTGTGCACAGCCCTGTTCTTGCTGGAGTTCGCAGAGCCGAGGACATTACATTCTCAACTGGCAGCAAATGCTTCACTTGTAAAACAGAATCAGAGCATGATGTTTAAAATGAAAATTCTTGTTGGCTACATATAGGGTTTGAGAAAAAAGTAAAATTCAAGACAATTTTCTGGCTCTTACCCCAAGGCTAATATGGTGGAACATAAAATGGCCTGTTTTCCTGAAATAATCACATACTTTTCCAACAACCACTTTCCATGGGCCTTTGGATCCCATGGCTGACGCTATGAAGCAATTTCAGGGGAGGATAGAACTTTGAGGTTCTGAGAGTTCACTCCTTTTTTGCCTCTGGGAGACAAAAAAAAAAAAAATCTCATGTCTTAGTTGCTTTTCATATCACTGGAACAAAGTACCTGACATCCACAACTTAAAGGGAGAGGTATATGTATTTTGCCTCATGGTTTGAAAGTTTCAGTCCTTACATGTTGGGTGGCTCTAGGAAGAAGCAACATGGTGGAAGGGCCCAGGCTGAGGGAAGCTGCTCACTTCATGGCAGATAGGAAGTAGAAGGTCAAAGGTGGAGCTAGGAAAGAAGAGAGACCCAGGATCACCCAGTGACCCACCTCTTCTGACTAGGCCCTACTGACTAAAAGCATTGTTACATTTTATATCTAGATGTTCCTCCAAAGCCTCATGAGCTCATAGGTGGGGCTTTTGGAATCATGGTAGAATGATGCTCATTGGTTCATTAGTCCACTGATGAGTTTATAGATGAATGTGTTGTTGGGAGATAAAGCCTGATTGGAGGAGGTGAATCATTGGGTTGTGGTCAGAAAAGGTCTACCTCTTCCCCCCTCTTCCTTTGATCTTGCTCTCTCTTTCCTGCTCTCCATGCCATGGGCTGTTTCTCCTCTGTGGTGCTCCTCTGCCATGCCCCCTGCTTTCAAGCCAGCAAACTATACACTGAAACCTCTATAAACTTTGAGCCAAAATAAACCTCTCCTCCTTTAATTTGTGGGTTTTGGGGCATTGTGTCTCAGTGACAAGAAAGTAACTAAGTACATTTAGCTATAAACCCATCAGTGGACTAATCCATTGAAAAGTATAGAGCTCCTATAATCCAATCACCCCCAAAAGTCTCACTTATGAGCACTTGAGGCTTTGGGGAGACATCTAGATATAACCATAGCATCTCACTTATAGAACATGATATCTAGAAGATTATGGTCAGAGATGGGACTGCTGTTTTCATGATCATTTAAACTTCAGGTTTCTTCTGTTTGTTAGATTTCCCTCACCTAAAGATGGCCACTACATAAAAGGAATAGCCTTCCCCTTCCCATAATGCCCCGTTTCTCACCTAAAATTATGGCTTCTCCCACTAAAGGACAGCCTTCTTCCCATCATGCCTCTTTTTCTGCCAAGAGAGTAACCTGATACTACCTCTTATTGACTAGTGATGACACAAGCCCCTCCTACTGATGTCACAAGCCCCCCCAATCCCTAGCCACTACATCACTCAGTCCTACCCCACCTCCTATGAGCCCCATCCCAGTCCTATAAGAACTGCTCCCTGTCTTGGCCATATTGCTCTCTCTCCTTTGATTGGAGATGGTCCCGGCAGGTTGTTCCTGCAATAAAGACTTGTAGTGGTTCTGGTCTGGGTCTTGGTTTTCAGCCTTTTTAAACTAACATTGTTTCATCCTACACTTCTCACAAGTAATAGCTTGTACAGTGCCAGCCCCTGCAGTTCATGGGTAAGGCCGTGAGAGTGGCGCCACACCTGCCTTCTTCACACTGTGTGCCTGGCTCACACTCAGGGTGTGCCAGAGGGGAGGTCGATAACTGTCGAGTGATTAACGAATCACGAGTTCCACCTGTGTGTGTGCATCTTCTTTCCTTGGTGGAAAAAGTAATGGTGGACAGATATAAAATAAATGAAAGAAATCCTACAAATATGAATCAAATAATCACATACATGTGAGCAATAAGTGTTATGAAGAGAGGAAATCACGATGAGGGTGTGTAAGAAATCCATGTTGGATGCAGGTGTGAAAGATCTTAGTATTAGTGAGGCCTGTTGCCTTATGTGGGAAGGCGTTGTTCTAAGGACATGTCTGGTGAGGCGAGTGTGTATCCACTCGTGTGCTCCACGTTGACTCTAAGTGCTGTGGAAGTTACAAGGTAAACAGGCTGAAAGCGAGGGAGCGAAACTGGTACTGGCCACTTAGGCTCCTGTGCTCAGGTTGCTCTTTTTGCCACTCCATGTTTGGGTACAAAGGAAAGGGGATATATTCAGGGCCAGCTCTGAGGAGTTGGAGGAGCACACATGTGCCTCAAACACCATCTCGCTGAGCACAGGGGCCAGGACCTCTTTCAGTAAGGAGCACACAGGGATGATGCAGATCTCCCAGCTGCTGACTTTCCCAGCCATCTCCAGCTCATTGTCACCTTTCCTGTGGCAAGGAAAGTGGGCTCCAGGCCTCCTGGTGTCAGCATCTGCATATCCTGTCACCAGTCCTTGGGGGTGAAGGAAAGAAGGAGATGTTGTTTATGTACTCAGCAGCTGGAACTCTTATCTCGAAAAGAAAACCCACCTAACTTTACAGATAGAAGTTCTAGTTCTGTCATCTGCTGCTATATTACTGGAGCAGGTACCACAACCTCTTTGGGCCTCCATTTCCTCACATGTAATGAATGGGTGGTCACATTGCTCCACTCAAGTTTTGAGAATTAAAATGTACAAGAGCTTGGTATCTAGGAGAGTTGGTAAATGTTAAGATGTTCTCTCTTTGTCCTTTGGATTTGATCCCAAATATCCTAAATACTACTCTCTCTGATATAGATGCAACTCCCAAACCTGCTAGATATTGTGTTCTCTAAAATCTAGAAGAATGGATTCTAAGATCAAACATAGGTTAAGAGTAGAAACACTTTATTGAGAGAAAGATAGCTTCTGGCTAAGAGAGACAGAAGGGGGACTGGAACATGGGTTGCCCACCCACCCTGCTTCTCAAAGGTGTATTAAGCAAAGCTGAAAAGTGAGATGGGTTTCAGGTGAGACAGAACTACATGCCTCTTCCTAGGAATTCCTTTTTCTTCCCTAAACTGTATCTTCTTCATCTTCCTGTGCCTTATCACTTTTTCTACAAAAATTTCTCTTTTATGCCTAGAATTTCACTCTCATGCCTTTACAGTTTTATTTCGGCTAATTTTATTTCTTTTTGTCTCTCTTACTAGAATAGGGGCAAAGGTGAAGTTGGTTTTTGCTCTTGTATCCTTAGCATCTAATTCAATACCTGATATGTTGTAGGCACTCAGTAAAATACTTACCATAGTTACAGTCTGTATTCCCTTGGAAAGGAGTATACCTAAGAAATCCTTTTCTGATTACGTCTCCATAGTGAGAAGTTTCATCATAAGTGAGACCAATATATCTTGAGTTTTTGTTTGTTTCTTTTTGTAGCACCTAAGTTATTTGAAGTAGGAGTACACAGACTGCATTGACAACCCTGGGGAGCAGCTTGGGGATTAAAATTCTCAGGCTCCTTCTGGACTTTCTGAACCAGGATCTGCATTTTAACAAGATCCCTTGATGATTTGCATGTGCACTGAAGTCTGAGAAGAGCTGCTGTCAAACCAGTTCTGCCCTGTAGAGGGCAGAGCATCCTGCAGCGTGCAGGTAGAGAGCCCCCCATCCCCGGAAGCTGACAGAGGCCAGGAGGGGTGTATGCTGAGTGAGTGGTCCTGACTGCTTCCTTCCTTGTGTTTGGTCTCAGCTATTCTAACCTTGGTGGTGCCTGGGAGTCAAGAGCTCTCTGCCTGAACTGCAGCCACCCAGCAGCTACTGTGATGTGCCGAGGCCTTCTTGTCTGTCTGCATTTGTGTGGCAATGAAAACTTCCTAAGGG